ATGTCCTTGGAAACCCAAGGCATTGACTTACTCTTCTTGGAGAGTTGGGCATGAATCACTTGAATGTCCGAACAATGTGCAAATGCCACATGATTTCACTTCTTGAGTTCTTGAACCCAAGATAAACTCCTTCATGAGTGATGTCAAGTTTGCAACTTGATTTTCCAAGGTAGATGTGCTAGATTCTGTTGCAAGAACTCTCCGAGTTGATGATTTGCGGCCAAATTGCCGTGAGTTCTCGGCCAATTCTGAATTCAAACTCATTGCTTGTGAGGGGTTTTTGTTAACAAAGCCTCCTCCACAAGCGGCATTCATCATTCTTCTATCATCATCAACAAGACCATCATAAAAGTAGAGTACGAGGTCTTGCTCTGTGTAGCCATGATAAGGGCAGCTAGCACATAACGTTTTAAATCGTTCCCAGAATTCATACAAGGACTCATCTTCCTTTTGCTCAATGTTGCTGATTCGTTTCTTTAAATTTGTGGAGATGGAAGTAGGATAGTACCTATCAAGGAAGAATTTTTTCATGGCCGCCCATGTATCTATACTTCCTGAGGGAAGATAGAATAGCCAATCTTTCGTCGTGTCCTTTAATGAGAATGGAAAGGCCCTCAGTTTGATTTATTCTTCAGTTACACCATTTGGTTTCATGTTAGTGCAAACTATAAGAAACTCCGAGAGGTGTTTGTTTGGATCCTCTCCTCTTAGCCCATGAAATGAAGGAAGAAGATGAATGAGCCCCGATTTGAGCTCAAATGTAGCACCTTCATCAAGAGTGAGGAAGGTGATACAGAGAGGTTGTTGATTGAGATTGGGAGCGCTGAGCTCCCGTAGTGTTCTTGTTTCCAACGCCATGTGGATTGATTCCTCGGATTCGCTAGAGCTAGCGTTTGATGATTCCTCCGAGTCGTTACTTGAGAGTATATTTTTCAACCTCTCAAAGGTTTGTTCTATTTCTGGGTTGGGTTGAAAGGTGATCTCATTGATGGAACGAGTTTTAACCATATACTTGTGTAAAGCTCAGAAATAAACAAGTAAGAAATCTTTATATTTTGTTTATTTAATTTTTTTCATTTTTCATGAAATACAATAAAATAAAAATAATTGCCTTTCCCCAGCAACGGCGCCAAATTTGACGTGCACTTTGTCGTGGTGTGCACTCAAAATAAATACAATACAACACTTATACGTAGTATAGTGTAGTAAGGTTCGTATCCATAGGGAAATGAATACTTTTCTTTTACGTAACTAGTAACAAGGGTTTTTTTTTATTTGATTTAATAATACTAAGATGAACAACCTATATGAGTTTAATTAATAGAGATGAGGACTTGGTTTTGCTTTTATCCACGTAATGAAATGTTCGTCGATCCCGATTATATCTTTAACTATCTTCCTCTCGAATACTCAATCGAGGAGTATATCCAGTTCATCGAGGGTAGTTATTAATAACGAGACGCGTTCATTAATAAAACTTACTACCGGGTTAATATAGAACACTCGCCGTATATCAACTCGACAGTAGCAATAAAATCAAGATGAAATCGATTGAGATTGATAAGCTCAACACAAGCGGTTTATTGGTTTAATCAACATAACTAATTCCCTTTAGATTATTAACCATGAGACGCATGCATTAATAATCCAAGCTTACTACCGTGAATAAACCGAATTAATAACAAGTGTATTAATCGATTCACTCTAGTAATAATTAATATATGAAACAAAACTAGTTGATCGTTTAAGTAATGCTCAAAATATTAATATGGAATATGAATAGGAAATAATTAATATTCAAGGAAGAAGATTAAAGAAAATAACTCACAACTTACAAATTCATTAAGCTTCAAAGTAGCAAAACCAAGATGGAAGAGTTTAGCTCCTCATTTGGAGACTAAACATGAAGAAAATATAAAGAAAGAGCTTGTCTAAACTGAACTAAGAAGTATATGTGAATTCGTGATTTCTTTGGGAAGGAAAAGGGGTATTTATAGGCTTTTGGAGCATGGAGGGGTGTGTACCCGATCGGGCATCAAGGGCACCCGATCGGGTATCTTCAGTGACTTCCTGGAAGCTCGAAAAGTGGGACATACCTGATCGGATATGTCGGTCACCCGATCGGGTATGACACTCGAACGCGATCAAATATCTTCCTGCATGTTGCCTTGTCCCGAATCCGATCCGATTTGATATTTCAACAAGGTACCCGATCGGATATAGGTCATACCTGACCGGGTACAGACCAAAAAACCAGGATCCTCTATTTCTTTTGTGATTTTGTACCTTCCTTCCACTTTTGAGGTTCACCAACGGTCCTTTGAGTGATCTTGGACCTGTTTGAGCTCAGAATAAACCTAATCTAAGCAAATTACAAATATTTTACAAACTAAACTATTACACCAAAAGTGTGTAGTTTCCAAAGTAACAATCAATCAAAACTAGTTAAAAACACAAACATAAACATGGAAATTACACGATCATCATAGGTCAAAATTGAACTGAGAGAATTGAACTCACCCCAAATTACTTGCACCGAGGGAGGGACATAATTGTTCAAACACACATAATTGACTCATCTTGAGCCCGTTTGGTAGCACAAAAAGCGGCTGATTTGGCTTATTTTGTTGAAATTTATGAAGTTCTGGCAGAAATGACAGCATTGGCTGATTCTGTTGATTTAAGAAAAAAAAATTAAAATATATTTTATTAATAAAATAAAGAAAAAATTATATGTAAAATAGCTAAAATGATCATCTACAGTAACTTCAGCCAATACAGCCAGAAAAGTAACTCAAACCTTACTTTTTCTGCTTATTACACAATTCAGCGCGCGAAAACAAAAGTTATGTGATTAATGAAAAAATTGACTGATAAGCATGATAAACCCAAAAATAATGTTGTTAAACGTCCTCCTAGTCATGTATGATGTACTATCATACGCTTACGCTCTTGGCCGTTCACGGGTGGGCGAGATAAATGAATCACGCGGATGACACGAGCGTCACACGACCCTCGTGCTTTAGTTGCTGTTTTGGGTGCACATGTTTATCGCCACCACATTTCCGTTCACGTGTTTTTCGGCCCATTTTTTTCAGTTTAACCATTTCTCCGTACTAAATTAAAACACCGTTGCCGGCTGCCTCAGGCCGCCCTTGTCATCATTTTACCAATTCCTAACCGCCTTCAACTTTTATTTATTTTGATACCATACAAAAGCATAGTTTTGTACGGAATCCACCCTAAAAACAAAAGTTGATTATCAACCCTTTCAAATGTTTATTTATTTCAAATTCAAGCTATTAGTTTCAGTAAAGATTTTTTTTTTGCAAATATTACTAAAATAAATCTAATGGATAAAGATATAATTAAAGCGACTATATGTCCATAACATTATGTATTTACCTTATATCATCAGTATCTTTCTTTTGAGCATTGACATTATTTCTTTAGTAAAATATTTTTGTGAATATTTAAACTTGGACTACATTACAAATAAGTTAAAACGAAATTCTCTTTCACTCTAAATTAGATTAATTTACTTGAACGGGTCCATTTATTGTTAATAAATATTAGGATAATTAAATCAGTACAGAATAGGTTGAATTAGACTAGAGGTAAAGTTTACCCAATAGTCCGTACTAGAAGGACCAAGAGCTGGTCTTGTGGGAGTTATGGCCAAGCTAGACAAGCGTTCTTTTATCAGGACATTCAACAGTTTACAAGCGATCAGAATAAAAAATGAGTGAAAATAGAAAAAACAAAAAACAAATGAATATCCTTTTTTATAATTTTGCCAAAAAATTACTTCTTTCTGTTTACCTCTTTCCTATTAAGTCATGTCTGGATTAAGTGATATTTAAATATGAAAATGTTTATTTTGTGTGCTGAATAAATCATATGCATAAAGTAAATTAAATTAATCAGTTTAATATTGTTATAAAGTTATATTGAAAATGAATAATGTCATTTATTAACATATATCTTGGTCCAAAAGGTGGAATCTCCCACCCCAGGAGCCCCCCATATTTATTAACATATATCTGTTCTATACTAGGTATACAAAAAATTACTGAATAGACGTCTTAATGAGCGTCTTAATGGGAAGGAATGCCTTTTCACATCTTAGCGTTTAAGTCAGTTTATTGATTGCATGAATAAGTCGTGTTTTCAATTAAGTCGCAAGTAAATACTAGTATATGACTTAATGGTTGAATGATTAAATTGTATTTCTATCAAGTCCATTAAGCAAGTACACGACCCCTTACTCATTCTCCCCCTATACTTTTGGATATTTGATGCTTTTAATTGGACATGAATTATGTAGTCGATCCCGTGAAACATAATTGATTATATTTTATGGTCAAAATAACATTTATTTAATCTTATGGAAATTTTAAGTCAATTTATTGGAGAAGATCACCATATTTAAACTAGTTGTGTCAAACACACCTTTAATATTAACTATTCACAACTACATGAATTATGTAGTCGATCCGGTGAAACATAATTGATTATATTTTATGGTCAAAATAACATTTATTTAATCTTATGGAAATTTTAAGTCAGTTTATTGGAGAAGTTCATCATATTTAAACTAGTTGTGTCAAACACACCTTTAATATTAACTATTCACAACAACATATCATATCAAATAAAACTAAATTAAAATCATATTTTTTTCAAACACTATTTTTCTATCAAAATCTTTTTAGAGGGTGTTTGGAACTGATTCCGATTCTACTTCCTTTTTAAAACAGAAATAGAATCAGAATCAGAATCAGTTTTCAGAAGCTGGTCACCCCCAGCTTCTAAAAAAACTGATTATAGGAGTAAATTAGAGCATCAGAATCACTTCTGCACTTCAACTTCAGGAAGCAGAAGAAATTTTAAAAATCAAATCCAAACATCCTTAGTCTACAAAAATCAACTATCACTAAAAAAAACTCATAAAATTACTTTTTGGGTAGTTATGTAAAACGAAAACCCTACTGTGAAGTATGAACCCAACAAAGGGTGAATCGTTGACACGTAGACCACTAACTGCAGTTAATACACATGCAGTCGGGATTTAGAAAAGGAAAATGAGGAGCATTACCCAAACGCGCATCTCCCCCACTCTCTCTATCCCTTTGCCCTTCTGTTTGAAGGAATAGAAGACAAATTTTCCCAGAAAGCAAACCAAATTTAATGTCCATCATAAAATTCCCAATCTATGAACATGGAAGTGAATTAATGGAAGTGGGTTTCCCTGCAATTCGACGACAAAAGCCGGTGTGTGTATATAACCATATATAATTCTTCTTAAATACTCGATTTTTATCCTTTTGTGTGCATTCTTTTTCCGGTTCATTCTAATTTATGTAAAAAGAAATTCGGGTATGAGATCTGAAATTGAGCGACGGCCCGTTTGATATTTTCTTGAAAAACGAAGAGGATTAATTGTCTTTTTGAAAGCCGAGATGTGTTTGTTATTCGTTGGGATTTTCATTCATTGCTGTGAATAGCCAGATAGCATTTTCGCCATCCCGATCTTCATTTATTGGGAAGTATTGTTCTATGTTCTTTGTGAAGGGTGGTTTTTTTATAATTATTTATTATTAGATAGATACAATACACAGAGGAGATGGGTACGGTGGTGAACTGGTCGTGGAGTGATGAAGAGAAGAGCATGTTTGCGGCGGTGCTGGGAAGGAAGGCATTTGATTACCTGGTTTCGAGCTCTGTTTCTGCTCACTGCGCATTAATGGCGGTGGGAAATGATGAGAATCTGCAGACGAAGCTCTCAGATCTTGTGGAGAATCCCAACTCCAGGAATTTTAGTTGGAATTACGCAATCTTTTGGCAACTCTCTCGTTCTATTAACTCAGGTGAACTGGTGCTAGGGTGGGGGGATGGCTGTTGCAGGGAGCCAGGGGAAGGAGAGGAGGAGTGTGAAGCCAACCGAATTATGAACCTAAGGCGGTCCGAGGAGGATGAGGTCCAGCAGAGGATGAGGAAGGGCGTCCTCCAGAAGCTGCATATGATGTTTGGGGAGGAAGATGAAGAGAATTACGCTTTTGGCTTGGATCGGGTGACGGATACTGAAATGTTCTTTCTGGCCTCCATGTACTTCTCATTTCCAAAGGGAGAAGGTGGCCCGGGAAGGTGTTTTGGATCAGGAAAGCAATTTTGGTTATCAGATGCACTATATTCTCCAGTGGAATACTGCGTTAGATCATTCCTTGCAAAGTCCGCCGGGATGCAAACAATCGTCTTGATTCCTACTGATTTAGGGGTTGTGGAGTTAGGGTCAGTCAGGTCAATACAAGAGAGTTTCGACATGCTGCACCCCATCAAAGCTTACTTCCCTTCTTCTTCCTTTTCACTTTCCCCTTTTAGGGGGGTGGACGAGAAGAAGAAAGATGATCCGGATGGGATTCCGAAAATATTTGGTCAGGATTTACATTCTCATAAATTTGTTTTGGAAAAGGACCATTGTGCTGGGAATGGTGGTGGAGGGGGGTATGTTATCCCTAACGGCAGTGGGGTCGTTCCATTCTTTGTCAATACTACAAGAGGAAGAAATGGCGTGACCAGTGGACTCCACGGTGCTCCTTGGCCTCCACCACCAGCATTCAGTAGTAATTTGAAGCCGGTGGTGGCTGTAGAGGAGATGATGATGATTGTGAACAGTGGTGGGGGTGGGCCTGCAAGAGATGAATTCTTCAGGTTGAATAACAGTTATCAACAACCACAACAACAACAGAAGCAAATAGACTTTTGTCGAGGAGCAACCTCGACCAGGCCCACTGTTATTACTGCTACTACTAATGTTGTTGAGTCTGAGAATAATAATTCGGATATTGAGGTTTCGTGCAAGGAGGAAGACAACCTACAGCAGCAACAGACAGGCCTAGGCCAACTACTTGATGACAAGAGACCACGGAAAAGAGGGAGGAAACCTGCGAATGGGAGGGAAGAGCCACTGAATCACGTGGAGGCAGAGAGACAAAGGAGGGAAAAGCTGAACCAGCGTTTCTATGCACTCAGAGCGGTGGTTCCTAACATTTCCAAGATGGACAAAGCGTCCCTACTTGGTGACGCCATCGCTTACATCACCGAACTGCAAAAGAAACTCAAGGACCTGGAACTTGAGAGAGAGGAGGGACTTCTTCTGCTAGGACGAGGCAGTTCTTCGTCGAGAGAGACCACTCCGAATTTGGATATGATGATTCAGAACAACATGAATGTTGAAGCAGCCGCGGGGAACAATGAAGTGGTTGTGAAGGTGAGCTGCCCTTTGGAAGCTCACCCACTCTCCAGAATCATCCGGGCCTTCAATGATGCCGAGATCAGAGTTGTGGAATCCAGTGTTGCTGCGGTGGCTGATACCGTGTTTCACACTTTCGTTGTGAAGTCCTGCGGCTCTGAGCCGCTGACGAAGGACAAGTTGGTTGCTGCCTTTTCTTCAGAATCATCGTCTGTTGGTGGGGGGTTATAACAATAAATATTTTTTATTTTTATCTCATCAGTTCACTTAGTTGTTTTCTTCCCCCGTTTTTAGGCTAAGAGTTGTAGTAAAGAGAATGTTGTTTCATGTGGTCCTTTATGCAGAGGTTTTGATTATACACCCCCTACTTCAAGTCTTCAAGCCAAGCTAAAAAATAGATAAGATATTGACAAACATCAATGCAGCAAATTTTCTGCACTTCTGATAAGCAATACAATCATGAATCATCAATATGTGTTATCTTATGGTATGGTTTGAAAATGATATTTTCTGGTGCTTTGGTTCACCATGGTGCACTTTTGTGTTTTCACTAATACACTTTCTGCGTTTGCAGATGACTTTGGTCTATTTATGAAACAACTTTCTGCGATTGCAGATAAATTTGGTTTACTTATGAAACAGCTTTCTTGGTTCACTTATAAGACCATAATATCTTCTAAACAAATAAAAGGTACTTCTAATGTGAACAATACATGAAAAAAACACAGTAACAGAGTTGTAAACTAGTGCAATTTCTGCCACCACAGTCAATGTAAAGTCTGTTTCTTTGATGCTAAAAGTGTAACCGTAAAATTTTCTTTGAGGTTATTTCTTGACAGTTTTCTTGATGCTAAAATTTTCTTGATGCTAAAGTGTAACCGTAAAGTCTGAACAAGTGCAATTTGTGCCACCACGTGCGTTATTAAATGTGCGCAATTTTTACGTTAGGCTTTCTAAATAACATCGTTGTCTCATAAAATTTTAGAGAAAATTACCAAAATAGGAGTAAAAAAGTTTTGAAATTCCAAAATAAGACTATAATGTTTTTATTCCTTAAATAGGAGAAAATTTCTGACAAATTTTAAATTACTAGGCTTTAGAAAATGATATTTTTTCCAAACTTGAAAGATTACTCTATTCAGGGAATAAAAAACATGATACTCCTATTTTGAAATTTCAAAACGTTTTTTGCTAATTTCTAAAAAATTTATCATCTTTCTTTATTTAATTGTTCGATTTCATTTTATCACTTTCATTTAGAGTAATATATGTGGCTAAAACTATTTCTCATTCCTCTATACAAATTATAAATATACATTTTTTATTTTCTTGTTTAATGTATAAGTCAATTTTGATCATATTTTATGTGGCGGAGGGAGTAATAAATCATGATTATTATGTTGACGAGAATATTAAATGAGTGTTTGCGTGATTAATGTTAGAGATTATATGGAAAATGGCTAATGATAAAGTTGACATTATTTGAAAAATAATTTCGAAAAAGCAAAAATAAAAGTGAAAAAAGGAACAACTTTACGATACTCGGTAGAACACAATAAGAAACGTGATGAGGTTAATGAAACACAACTTTATATGCTTCCGCCTTCCAGCTTTTAATTTTAAAATATTTAATTGAATTAGGAACTCTAATTTAAAACTTTATTCTTAATGCTTTTAAACGTACGCTTTTGAAAGTTGATGAGGTTTATGAAACAAAAATGCACAAAGCTAGAAAAAGCAACAACGAAAGAAGAAACGAAGAGCCGTGCACGGGAATCATGTGTGGTTTGAAATAATGAATCAAATCACATGTTATTCACTGTCGGTCATGTTGTTGGAGCACGGACCAGGACCAAACGTGCTGTCCGTGCTAATTACTACTGTACTATTACGCGTCTTCCAATTCATCTAATGATCTGAGGTTGATTACAACTCAACCAATAAATCAACGGGTAAAAGTAGCCCAAACCTATAATTTCTTAGAAGTAATATACGGAGTATGTCTCTCTTTCTTATTTTATTCCAAATCTATAATTTCTAATAGATTCATTTATTAATACAAAAAATCATAGTTTTTTTAATAATAAAAACATAAGAAATCATAAAAATATTTATAAATCAATAAAAAATTTTGGAAAAATAACAAAACAAAAAAAACTTAAAAATAATCTAAAAAGTAAAATAAAATACCTAAAAAAATATTAAAAAAATATGTAGGTCAGTACTTTGCATCCTCCACAGCCCAACACTATCACCTTCGATCGCCGGGACAAAATGACACCTTGTGTAAAAAATGTCACATTTATCTGAAAAATGTTATAAATATGGTATTAATTTTACTGTTTGAATATATCATCTTTCTTTTCAAAATTGTCATCACGATGTCATTTTTTCCTCAACTTGACAATCTTTTTCGGTGACCGGAGGTAGCGGTGCTGGTAGGTGGTTGAGGTCTGTATGGTTTTTATGTATTATTTACGTTTTTTATTTTTTTATGTTTATAATGATTATTTAAAAAATTCTATCAGGAAGGACAAGGGAAAGGGTAGAATAGGAAGAATTAGTCCTAATTAGAAAATTTAAACATTAAACTCCTATTTTTGCAATTATCCTTTTATTTAGACCTATTTAGGGAAATCTCACATAAATCAAATTCCCCTTAAATTTTGAATTTATTTAGTAAATTTAGTTTTTTCCTGCATTTCAGTATTATTAATATTTTCACTCAGAATAATTATTTTAATTAAACTTTTACTGTTATTATTATATACCATTTTTTTGTCAATTAATATATGTTACGTATTAAACTTTAATATCGATTGGCACAACAATATAGTATGGGTGAGTTCGTGAAAACAGCGCTAAACTCGAGTTTCTAAAAAACTTATATTGAACTAAATCATTTTTTTCGATGTCGATTCAGTGTTGTACATTTTAAGGTAAAGGGGCGTAGAATCAAAATTGATCTAATCTTAAACAAAGATGTAAAACTCATTTCTGTTTAAGTTAACATGCATCATGCATGACGATGATGATCAGAGCCGTCTTTTAGCATGTTCAATAGGTTCTACAAAACGGGGGCACATGGCCTCCTGATTTATGGGACTTCAATTTTTTTAAAAAATTATTAGTATTATATAATAATCTTATATAATAATACTAATCAACAAAATACAATTAGTAAAGAAGAAACTTACAATAATACCATTTTTCGTCGGTTCTTTTACTCTTCTTTTTCAAAAATTGCTTGAATAATGAGTTGTGTTTCTTTAAATCAAGTATTATGTAACTTTTTTAATTTTTTATTATATCATTTAATTAGTACTCATTTGATTTGAGTATAAGTATTTAGATTGAGATTTTTTTAATTTTTTATATTAATGTTGGGCCTAGATTTTACATTTGGAACCGGGCCTCCAAATTCATTAGACGGCTCTGATGATGATGATGATGATGATGATAATAATAATAATTATAACAACAACAAGAATAATAATAATAATAATAACAACAACAACAACAACAACAACAACAATAACAATAACAATAACAATAACAATAAAAATAACAATAACAATAACAATAACAATAACAATAACAATAACAATAACAATAACAATAACAATAACAATAACAATAACAATAACAATAACAATAACAATAACAATAACAACAACAACAATAATAACCATAATAATAGTAATAATAGTAATAATAATAATAATAATAATAATAAAAATAATAACAATAACAACAATGATGGATAAGTGTACCCGGGGGTATCTATCCGAAGGGTTACTACGGAGAGTAACTAGAGAGAAGTCAGAGCAAAAGTAAGAGAGAGAATATATATTGCTGAGAATGTATTGAGCGTATTGAACATGGATTACAAATGGGGAAAAGTGGTGCTATTTATAGTAGCAATAAATGCTAGATAGGGACACATGTCATTATTCTGGCGGTCGAGGGGTCACCTCAACGAGGTGGCACTGGCACTCGCATGTGGCCGCATTAAACGCGGTAGTTGGATGTGACGTTTGTACTCGGTACGTTGATCCAGCGCATGTGGGCGCAAGACGTGAACAAGGAACAGCTCCAGACCTCCGCCCTCGAGAGACTCGGAGGGGCGCAAGACCGCCGAGGGGTCCAAGACCGCCTCGGAGGTAAGGCGTTCCAAAGGCCTCAGGAAAGTGGCGGGTCCGTCTCCAGGGCCAATGAAAGGCGTCCCCCTCAGGACAAGGGCAAGGCACCTCTCCATGCCGAGGACGCACGCCACCAAATCAACCAGGCCCACTCAACCCGGGTCCATTCGCAGGGGGCGGAGGCTCTCCCGAAGGACCCCCAGGACGAAATCATTGCGGCCCTCCAGCGCCGGCTTGACGAGATGGAGGCCACCAGAGCCCACACCACCACTTCCGCCCCTCATACAGACCTCAAGTATGAGGCAATGATGGCCAAGATGGAGGAAATGCAGAAGAAGATAGCCGAGGGCTCCGGGGAACCCACCATACAGCTCCGGACCCGGACGCCATTTACCCCAAGGGTATTGGCGGCCCGGATCCCGGAAAAATACCAAGGGCAGCTTATCAAGCCCTATGACGGAAAGACTGACCCCCAAGAGCACTACAGCAGGTATCGAAACAGCATGATGATGGTGGGGGCATCAGATGAATATTTGTGCCGCTGGTTCCTCTCCACCCTAGAAGGGCCAGCCTACGAATGGTTCAATCGATTGCCCGAGGGCTGCATTGACTCATGGCAAGAACTCGCCCAGCGATTCTTGACGCAATTTGCGGGGAGGCGCCGCACAAGAAAACACTTCTCCCACTTACTAACGGTGAGGCAGAAGAAGGAGGAGACCCTTCGGGACTTCCTGGAGCGCTGGAGGACGGAGGCTGATAAAGTTGATGGCGCTGACGACGGGACCCTCCTGGCCCTCCTACAAACAGTACTCCGCCCCGGAAACTTCTCAAGGAGCCTCATCATCGACCCCCCTCGCGATTATATAAGGGCCTTACAACGGGGGGACCAGAACGCCGAGGCCGAGGAGGTGGAGAAATGCCACCATGTCCCAGATCAGCAACGCCCTCGGCCAGAAGACAAAGGTAACCGGGGGCCGGGGGCTCCCCGCAATCATCCCAGGGATTCTGCCCCCTCCGGTGATCACCCCGGCATGGCCAAGCCAAGCCCGGGGGAGGCTACAAGGGGAACCCGAGGGCTTGGGCACAGCCTGTCCTCCTGGAGCACCCTCGGACACCATTGACGCACCCCGTCAGCGTCATCCTGGATTTTGCTGAGGAGAGGGGCCTCGTGGAACGAGATTCACGCGCGCCCTCGGAAGTATTTGCCATCAATCCAAACTACCCCTACTGTCGTTTCCACCGACACTAGGGGAACAGGACTGATGATTGCCATCAGCTGAAGACGGCCATCGAGAGATTGATACAAGCTGGCCATCTGTCCCAGTTT